ATGTTATCATTGAAAAAAAACAGGCCAGGAAATATGTCATAGGAAATATGTCATATGTCATGTTTTCATTTGCAAATTATGATGCCAATTCCAAAATCCCCAGCTTACCGAAATGTTTCTTTATATGCCTGTTGCAATGTAAAAAGCACTTTTAGGGACACAATAAATGCCTGCTGCAGGCAGGTTGTTAATATGTTTTCCCTCTCAGCATCTCACAGAGCCCTCTGCTGCGAGATGTTCCCTGTTCTCTGTGGGRCTCATGCCTTGTTTACCTGCCTGAGAACTGCCTGAGTGCCGGAGCTGTGCTTGCTGGATCGGAACAGACCCTGCTCTTTGTGCTCCCGAGATAAGAGGCTGCAACAGTCAAGCTGTTTTTGTGCATCTCAACCACAAAATATGATCTTAATAATTACTGTGGATCTACTAAAACAGCAAGTCCTAGCTTCTTCACAATAGCTGTAAATTTAAAAGGCGCTCTTAATTTAGTGCTTTTTCATCTTGCTTCACATGTTTGAGAATATTTATTCCAATAAATTCACAAAACTGCCTTTCAGCAACAAAGCACAAGCTGTAAATCGTCCCATACCTCAGTTTTCTTTCAAAGCTCAGACAAAGGATTGTTCTTGCCCTTTTCATACTATGTCCACATAAATCAAAGCCTGGTAAAGGACAAGTCAAGTAATCTGAGCAAACAGCCTACACTAGCTTTACAATTGGATTGTTGCATGTCATGCTTCTCATTAGTCACAGATAGAAACCAGAAACTTTTGACGAGGTTGACAAAGAAGTTGAGAGCAGAGCCACTGCATCATGGATATATCAAAAAGCCTGTTAATCTAGGAGGCCATCATACAGAGCTGATAGAATGCTGACAGAATTCCTTTCTTCCCTCTTGTTTTATAGCCAATGTTCCTTCTCTRCAGGAAGGACACTCGTGAGCTGTGCGGAGCCCTATCATTATGATGGTTCAGTGATGGAACTGACTCCATGTCTGTCCAGATGTGTTCTCATGCTTTTCTCAGAYGCAGTCAGCCTTGTTTCTATCTATGTGCCAACTCAATTCCGTATTCTGGAACAGGACTGAYAGGGGAAGTCAAGAGACTTCGTCCCCCTCCTTTTACACTGAACATGGTTGGCTGATGTAAATTGGCAATGGCTCCATTAAATTTGGGACGGCTACATCACCTTTATCATCTTTGATGGTTCTATCCTTCATCTGTGTAACTCAGTTAATRGCCACACAGGGACTTTTTTCCCAGCTGCACTGCTGAGAAAATGACCTTGTTGCTGATAGAAAAGTTGTGAGTCTTCTGATACAATYCTAGTTTTAGAAGCAAGGAAACACACGTAGCCCAGGCCATTGGGGTTGTAATAACTTGGTGTCAGWAATGAAGGTGTAAAGGCTGTTTCATGAGTCCCTCGCTGGTGGTGCTGGCACAAGCACATGGTAGAGCCCATCTGCAGCTCTGCCATCCTGCCTGCACTATGAAAACCCAGTTATCACAAAAGAAGGTAAATAAAATGCTTTGCTGTCTTGAGTATGTGATTAAAAGCACGTAAGATAGACTTTAAAATGCTTTATATTTTGAAATAAACAGTTTTCTACTATTTTCACTGATAAATTGATATTCATATATATTACCATCAAATATAAGCAGGTAGAAGAACAATCTATCACTAAGAGCACAGAACTGACCTGCACAATCATGTGTGATACAACTGGATGGGAACGAAGCCTGTGGCAGAGAGACAACAGCATTACTGCCATGTTCAGAGAACACCAGCCAAACAYACTGAACCACAGAGCCGTGGGATCTGCACACAGCAATTGCTGTCCACAATAAGAAAAACGTCAGGCTTTAATGTCACACTCAGGTATTAGAAAACATAAATGTTGCTACTACATTTGCAAGAGTATCTGCAAAATTCCTGGTATTCTGCGAATGTGGCTGAATGCTCCATGGCATCTGCTGTGACGCAATCCAGCCTGCTCTGAACAAATAAACCGAAGCTGTTTTCAAAAGACAGAGTTGCTCAATGTCTCCATAATTTGTCCATCTGCAGATTTTGCAGTGCCTCTATGACAGTGATTCAATRGTAGCAAGAAAACCCATGGAAGTAAAGCGAAAGGAATGAGGTTGATGAGCTACAGCAGTACCTCAAACAAGTTACCTGTCATTTATAATGGAGCACATTTGGCCAGGAGACAAATGATAGGACACAAAGCCTAAAATTGAAACCACAAAGCGATGTTCTGGAGAAATGAAAATGAAGGAAGCAAAACAAAAAGAAAATTACTGGAAAGCATTTGCATTTATTTAAACCCAGAATGTCTGAGAGCAGAATCATCTATTGTCAATTTTAATTAAAGTTGTTCCTTACCTAYAAAAGTTTCTCTGCACAGAAACGTAAGATGGAGCTAAGCTGGAACTTGYCCTTCWTCTCACAGGGTAAGGTCACTACAGYTCTCTGATTAACYTATTTGTTACTATTATTATTCAGTTTATCCTAACCTGCTCTAGCAGGGATTTAAACTGAGCTAGAAAGCCACCCTAATTTTGGAATTAAAATAACTCARTTTGGTATGACAATTTACTATCCCAGTGAAATGGCCACCCTTTCCAAAAACAAACAGCAGGGCCTGCACAAATATAATTGCCCCATGACCCATTAAAGACAACAACAATACTGTTGTCTCTTGTTGCTAATGGCAARTACAGTACTGGTCTGACAGASGAGCATGTTTTCTGCACCACAGAAYAGTCAGATTTATAATCCAATAACATATTAGAATTAAAGCTGGCATTTTAATATCTTCTTGGTGCCATGCAGTATTTGGTAACTGCRCATTAGGAAAGGATGCACATCTCAGTTAATCTGAGTTGGGGACTTCCTGACGTCATTGTTTATTATTGCCACTTCAGGACTAATATCATGCTTGCCACTTCAGAAAGCAAAAATTAAGACAGCTTCTGCAGTGAAAAATGCAGACTGAAAGAGATGAAAAAGGCTGGGGAGAGAGGACCAGTGACAAAAACTACCAAATGTTTTATAAGGGCACAGCTTCTAGGCAGCCTCTATCTTGGTGCTTGCTTTTCCATCTTCATGGAGATACTGTCTGCACTCTTCAAAACTAAACAATTTTTCTGTTATGTTTGTATTCAAACATGATATTTAGGCTAGACTAAGATGTACCTCTAACTCTGGATGCAAAGCAAATAACACAGTAACCAACTGTACTTTGCACTTGCATTACTTCTCAAAATGCTGATGTCAATAAGCAAACAACAAAACAAAATAATGTTCTACAGAGAGAGAAATGGAGGCAAGAGCAGTGATAGGCAAAGGTCAAAAAAGAAGTCATGTGGGGAATTCAACAGTCTTTCTGAACCTAAGTCCATTTCTTACAAGAGCCCATGGTTCACTGCAAAGATAACAAAGGCCAAGTTTTGCTTTTATAAAGCAGAGAGATTGCAAGAAAGTGTCAAATGAAGCTGTCACACCTCAAATCCAGTACTGGCTCAGTAGGAAAGGTGACATAGAAATAGGAGGGGAGAAAAAAAAGCCAATAAAGTTGTCTTCAAAGACAGGAGTTCTGAATAACATATTGCCTGATACTTGTGAGAGAAGASAATCATTTATTTTCTGAACATGGCCAAATAAATCTAATTTCAAATGGAAACACATCTGAGATAATTATATATTATCATATGTAGCCCATTATTTTCCAGTGATGTTGACAGTTAAATGTCAGTGGAGCTCTCAGAGCTAGAATCAAGGAACAAGAAAAATGACACCRAAAGTGTCAAATTGCCCTGCCCCTAGTACAGACACAGACAGGCAACTATGGCCATTGGGAACACGGGAACAAAAATGTCCCCAAAAGGGAGGGCAGCTGGAACAAAGAGATTTATTTTTTTTTCTTTCAGGAATTTCACAACTTCTACTTCCAGTTCTGGTGGGTCAACACTGGCCAGGTAAGCAACCATCCAGCTACTCACTCATGCCCTCAGTCCTTTACCTGTCTGATGAGGCAGAGAACAGAAAAAAAAAAAAAAAAAAAAAAAAAAAAAAAAAAAAACCAAGAAAACCTGTGAGTTCAAAGACAGTTTAATAAATGAAGAGGAAAAAAAAAAACAGATCAAAAGAAAAAGGGACCACGTGATGCAAAGGCAGTAAGTCATCACCTCCCACACACAGACCAATGCTCAAGAATTCTCTGAGCAACCACAACTTAACAGAGGGCACAGCCCTCTCTCCCTTTCTTCCTCTACCACCACCTTCACTGCTGTGCCCCTCCTAACCTCTTACAAGTCTGTCTGCTGGGGAAGGTGCTTGCAGAGTGGGCAATAAGAGAAAGTTCAGCTCCAGCCAAAACATCCATGTTGGAGCCACTGTTGGAGCCACAACCACAGCACAGCAAGCGCTGCCATGAGCAGTGTCAGCCCCACCCCAGGCAGACCCAGCTCACCAGAGCACAGGGTAAAAATGAACCAGGAAAAGCTTCAAGCATACATGGGCAGAGGAAAAGCTGCTAAGAAATTTAATGGTTACAGAGCACACTCTGCACTCTCTCTCACAGTGCACTCCTGTAGCATGATGCGAGCCATTAGTTCCTAGAGGTGAAAGATAATCCAAACTGGGTAGGGTTGATTTGTGTTTCATGTCTGAAAGGGCTCTTCCCCCCAAAATACTCCCAATGAAATGTCTGTGCTCATCCTTCTGGAACCACATATGTTACCAGAGGCAGATTAACCCTTCATGGCCACAGTATCAAATGAGACAGGACACAACAGAGATTGAACCTCAGCAGCATAAAAATTCTCTGACTTAAGTTTGCTTCATACATGCATTTAAAGAGGGGTCATTTAAAGAGGCTGGAAAAGATTTTAAAGCTGGAATATTCCACTGTGATATKAATGATTTCCCTCTGCAAATTGCTCAGTCATACTCTGGAAAGCTGAAACTGTCACAGAAATTAAGCAGAACAAATGGTAAACTAATTTAAGAAAAAAATATTTTATTCATAAAATGACTCAACATTGGTGCATAGACAAAATATCTTGGAGCTAGATAATTTAGTCCCTGAATACAAAAGTCAGAATAATTTTGTTCTTCCTTCAATACCGAAAAGTAAAATAATAACAGAAAAATTATATCCAGACTGGGTGCTGTGAGGCCCCAGCTACCTGTCCAACACTTTGTAGGATCACTTCCTACATTAGGATCATATAATGAGTAAAGGGAATGTTAACTTCCCTTGAAATACTACTACTAATAATTATTCCAAGTAAACATAAAAACCTTGATGCTCCAAAACATTATCAATTTTAAAAAAATATGATGTAGCAATGCAGAAACTGTCTTCCTTCACTCTCAAGAGGTAAACCTAAATGCAGAAAGAATATACATGATAAACATGTACTTTTTACAAAAACAGATTTTATGTTTCAAAATTGGACCTCTAACTTCACCAGAAAAAAAGGAAGCAAAAAACTCACATTAGTATCCATGATATTTTAAAATATTTGCTACCAGTTGTGAACTTTCCTAAAGACATACACATTGCTATCAAACACTGATAAAGGTAGTAGAAGATAGACAGGAAATTTCCTTTTGTCAGTGAAGRCATCATAATAGTCAGCCCAGCTGGATGTCAGAGGGGTGACAGGTAGGTCACTCTTAGAATGACATGCAAGAATGCWCTGATACAAAAGTCAATTCTGCCTTTGGTTTTGAAATACATTCAGATATGAAGAATACACACACCCCCTCCAAACGCCCATTTTCTTTTGTACTGCCAGTGGATTTTCTTCTAGAAGTCACACCATTGAAAGTTATCTGTTCATATTTCCGCTGAAAATAAATCTAACAATAGCTTCAAACACAGGTATCTTTGTTCTTCACATCTTCAAAAAGGCAACCTATAAAAGGAAGCAAAAACAATACTGTGATTAGTCTCCACATTGCAGGTAAAAAAAATATGCTTCTTTGTATCAACAGAAATTATATATTATMATAATCTTTTGACTTAATAACACASTAAKGCAATGAGAAAACAGAGGCTGTATTTGAAAGCAGTGTTACTTTCGCACTTCTTCTCTACCTAATATGTATCCTAAAAATTCCCAAACTTTCTCTTTTCGCTCAAGCACTGCCAGGTGTTACAGAATTAAAACTTTTATTTTCCCCAGAATAACAAAGCACAAAGTATTTATCTCATCTAACTTAAAAAGCTATTTGATAGTATTTTGAAACTAGCTTAGATGAACACTTTGATACATCCCCCATTTTGTCTGAATATTAWTTTGTTTGAGCAGCGTTGTCAATGTAAGTCAAATTCTGATTCCAAAGACACGATGAAAAGTTCAAAGTCATAAAGAAAAATGCCTCACCAGGAACCAAAATCCTACCCAAGGGGAGAAGGTAAATACTTGTATATGATCAGAAGATAGCAAATGATGTATCTCTTCAGTGCACTAAGTGAACTGTCTACAGCTCTTTAGAGGGAAGGTGATCTATCAAATACAAGAGACCKACAGGATTTCTGCTGCCCCAAACTCATTTGTTCTTGGTCACGTGCTTGCTGCAGTTTCTCCTGTATGGTTTTTGTTTTGTTTAGCCTTGTAAAGGATCTGCAGGATACTAATGCAKAAAGTTAAGTCAGATGACTGAAAATGTCATGTACAGATTCTTATCTGCCAAGGAGATTGCTTCACATATTTTTTGCTGATTACAAAGACAGCAAAACAGATGGACAGATGCCATCACAGAAGGGCACAAAAACAAAGACAAAAGAAAACAAATGACTACCAAGTTACACAACTGCCTTCTGAAAATATACAACCTGTTTCTCCTAGCCAATGAAAAAGATACAAAAAGGGCAGACACTTTCTCTTTGTTCTCTTCAAGAACTTTCAACAGTCACTTAAGTGAAAATTAAAATTACCATCAATTACAACTTTGGATTTTCAGAGCTGACCCTCAATGACCACGTAGTGGACGCTGTGACTAAAGAACTCACATAGCATCATCAACCAGAAGGTATTGAATGCAAGCATAAAATACCACTGAGTGTTCAGAACAGAGGATAAAACAGAGTTAAAACACTAATTTTGGATCCAGGGCCCAAAGAATGWTTAAGAGAGAGTTATATGTCTGCTATAGAGGGTGTAAGAAAAAAAAASGSMAWTTTTTAACATATCTGAGGTGCTTCTCAGAGAATCAGTCACACAAAGGATTCCATGCCTACCTAACATGTCTACAAGGGATAAATAGGACATGAAATAACAATTATTGGTTAAGAATTAAAAAAAAAAAACATGCAATCTCACTCCCTGAACACTCTGTTGCTACTCCAAGGCTAACAGCAATAACCCAGTAGAAAAAATGCAGTTACTGCATGGAAGGGTTTGTACATATAACAAAACTGGGATYCCAGAAAGCTTCCACATTTCCAAATCATTCTTTTCTTCTTCYAAGCTGGAACTAAAATTCAGAAACAAAACTTTTCATGTCTTGTATTAAACATAAGGAAGAAATTCTGTAGTGTGAGATGGTGAGGCACTGGAACAGGCTGCCCAGAGAAGCTGTGGATGTCCCATCCTCAGCAGTGCTCAAGGCCAGGCTGGATGGGACTTTGAGCAATCTGGTCTGGTGAGAGGTGTCCCTGCCCATGGTGGGGGGTTGCAACAAGAGGATCTCTAAGGTTCCTTCAAGCCAAACCATTCTATGATTCTATGATTCAAAGAACATTTTCAGAAATGCCTATAGGCAAAACTGGTAGGCAAACAGCTGGCTGGCCAGAGTGGAAGTCAGCCTGCTTTCCCAAGAAAATCTCATCACACTGACACATTCCCACAGAGTGTTCTCATTCAGCTCCATCGGCATTTTCCAGCAGTAAGCTGCTACATCAAAATAATTTCTGTCATCTCAAACAACGGGTGCTGTAAAAGCCAKAGACTACTCATCATGTAGGGATATTTATCCACTCTGCCAAAGATTCCCACCCTCAAAGACAAAAAATGAAAGCAAAATCAATATGCTTGTCACCTTTCTCATGATTTAGTTGCTCAGATGRATAGAGACAGATACATAATTATTAGCAAATGTAAAATCTTCTCTCTGTGGAAAAGTCGTAAGTTATACAGGCTGCAGATGAAAACCTGACACCAGTCAAATCAAAGACAAARCTCACATTGACTTTAACAGTGTGGGAGATTTGTCCTTGCATTACAAGGAAAAAAAAAACCAGAAAAATCAAAAAAAGCAATAACCATACACAAGCTTCAAAATTTTAAGCAGATTTTTCTACCTGAGATTGCAGACTCCTTYGCTACATAATTCTGAAGTGCCATCAGAGTGGATATATTTGTTTAATTTGACTGCTTGCTATATTTTATAACGTATGAAATACACTTTTCCTCTCCTTTGAGAGGGTTATTTGCAACATGTTTCCCTAGATTGCTAGGCTCTCCTACTGCCCAGTAAACTGAAAAGCAACAAAAGGAATAATTTATCACTGTCTGTGTTTATATTTACTACTGATGTGAATGAAAAGAGCACATTAGATCATCCCTATAGCTGACATAGCCAACAAAAAAAAAAAAAGGATAACACATGGAAATCATAAACCATTTAAAAAAACACCTGCCACCCATGAAAACACTTGAGAACAAAATCAACTGAAACTAAACCACTTATGAAATTTCACCTTATCCAAAGTYCAAAATTAAGCACATAAAATATTCCTTTCTTATACTGTTACTGTAGCTACAGTTGGATCTCTACAGAGCAGTAAACTGTATGTTCTACCTAGTAAATGAATTATCATAGGTTGGAGAAATGAGACCAAGTGGTTCTCCCCCAGTTTTCCATCTATTAGGATACCTTCTCTGCAAGACAGACAACTACTGACCTCTTTCAGCTTTAGTAGCAATGCTTTCAGCAAAGCCTGCACATCCAGTACTTCACTGCTACAAGTGCATTTTGAAAGAAAAATAATGTGCCAAACRGTTATCTCATCTCCAAAGTAAGGTTTATCACTAAATTCAGAATAAAAGTCAGTTCACTAATCAGTTTTTCTTATTGACCTTACCTCAGCACACTGTCCCCTTCTTAAAGCACTCAGGATAGTCAGTATTAAGAACAATTTATGTGCTCTATCATCCATATTGCTGTGACAGGRGACATTGTTTTTTCATTTCCTCTCAATTATTTCTGAAGATTTTAATCTTGCTCTGTCACAGAGTATCAAGTGCATCTCAGCTCTCTACCCCATTATTTTCCACAGAACCAGRAGTTGCTAAGACCTCCTGATAATGAACAAACACAAACTCCACATTTTCAAACATTTTAAGAGACACCAATACAGAGGGAGCCCCAGAGCACTACAGACATTTGAACAATAGCTATACTTTAAAAAAATGGCTCCTTCAGTAAACAGTGAAGCAGCAGCAAGTTTGTTAAAAACTCATGGAACCAGGACAAGTTAAGAAATCCAGGTTGAGATGTTCCAATTTTAGAGCTGTGCTCYCTTGGCTTTCTCAGGAAAATCATAGAATGGTTTGGGRTGAAGGAGATCATAAAGATCATSTAGCTCAAATCCCACTTGCTATGAGCAACCTCGTCTAGCGAAATATGTCCRAACACCAAGGAGTAAAAGGTGAAAGAAAACAGTTTTAAYTTCAGAAAATATTWAAAARACTATGRAGAACTAACAAATTTAGGAGATAAAAGAAGGTGGTTCCAGGCAGCTGAAGCTGGTGGAAAGAAATCACCCTACCAAGCGCTAACAYTGGGTGAGCAGGCAGAGTGGATGACTGCTGTAAGAGAAGTAGGAGCATGATAGAAGGAGCTAAACAACATATTTCAAAGAAATACCATCTACAAATCAGCTAAGCAAGGGAAAAGCAGCTCACTCTTTGAATCAGCTGCAAGAACCAGAACAGGAGCTAGACCCTTACTTCCACAAAACAAGAAATGATACATCAAAAGTTGCATTACCATGTTGTAACACAAGCTTTGATACTTGTTATATTTTTCCTTTTAAAGGAGTCTAAGTGAATGGTGCACAAAAATCCCTACGCATGTCTCTCAAAGCTGACAACGAAGAATTCCTAATACCTATGTCTCTCCTAAGAGTTAAACAAAAGTATGTAGAAGATACAGAATTTYTCTWCAGTTTTAGAGAGGGAATTGTACTTCTGTTTATTCCTGCATAATTATAAAGGAAAATAGTGGGTTGAAAGTAGTTATGTATGCTTSGGTTTCAGCAGAAGAAAATGAACCTATTAAATCTCTGAATGCCTCCTGAAATATGACTGCTGTGGGTTTTTTTTTTATTGCACAATGAAGAATAAAACAACACCAGGCTGAAACCTGAAGCTTAAATGTATAAAAGACATTTTACTGTTGTCTTCTTTGAACATTAGAACAATTTTTAAGCACTACCACACACAGTTCATAATGCCACATTGTGTTTTAAAAGAACACAGCTTACATGGCTATCTTAAATCATATCTACTGCAACAGACAGACTGTACATAGACAGATACCCAGGCTTTAATCCTGCACATGTGCTGGTGTGAAATCAGGCGTGATGAAATGACTGCAGAGGAAACGTTGATTACAYACCAGCAAGGCTACAACCTACAATCAACATCAAATGCTGTATTTATTTCCACTCAAGGCTGACAGGTAATCAAGCAATGCCATACCATCCATGTGCACAGGAACAGAATAACCTTCCCAAAAAGACAAGGACAGCTGTGGGCAGACCTCTGCTCCTAGATCCAGCTGTGCTGAATGACACTAATCTCACAGGCCCATCGTGTCCCTCTGCTGCAAGTTACCATTACTCTCTTCCCCACAGAAGACCACTTCTAGGTTTCTACCTAGTGTTGGTGAAATCAGACTGATACAC